AGCCACCAACACCAGGGAGTGGCAAATGTTTCCTAGCTCCTGTAACGGTTCAGCAAGTCACCTGAGGCCTCAATTCCCCACTTGTAAACTGGGGGCAACAGCCCCAGCAGCAACATAACCCACGGCCAAAGGTAGAATTGCACGGCCCCGCGAGGAATCGGGCTCCCTTCTCTCTAGTTTTGGGGTGCGTCACCCAAGAACCACCGCTGCCAAGTCACTGCAGCTTGGCAGCTCCTTGGCAGCTCCTGCGTTGAGTGTCTGCCCCCTGGTGGTCAGTGCGTGTCATAGCGACTGGTCAACCAGTTATTCTGGTCGTTCCACCATTTGGTTGCTGGGCTTTTATTATATAGGATGGAGTCATTTTAACCAAACTGCTAAAATCATTCACATTATGAAGGTTGAGGCCGGAGGAAAGATTCCATTCTTGTTCTAACTGGCCTGGGAACTTAAACTTTCTGAACTTCCCGGTCCAGATCCAGTGCCCAGATATGCCCCTGGACAGACACCAGGCCTCCAGATAACCCTGACTGCCCTCTGAAGGACTCCGTATCCAGCACCTGACACCCGTTACCCAGACCACCAGACGGGGTCAAACCCCTGGTGCCCACCCTCGAGCCCACCTAGCATCCATCATCCTCCCCGACACCTGACTGATGACCGTCCTGGACGAATCCCAGGGCTACGAATGCAGGACTGACAATTCTCAAGAACGTACTTTTGACCATAAGAAAAATTCAACTTTTCTTTCCTTTATGGAGCACTTCTGGGTTTTTGCCTGTGTTCCCAGGGGGTAAACTGTAAGACCCTTGAATAAGTCTCTCTCCTTTTTTACTAGCCAAAGCCTCCAGACTCTTCTTCAGGTCGTGGGACAAGTTTTATGCCAAGAAGCACAAGCAGAAAATGTAAATCAACCTACTTCCACGAAACAAACATACGTTAGAGGGCCATGTGAACGATACCCCCTAAGCCAGTGGTTCTCAACCTTCCTAATGCCGTGACCCTTTAATATAGTTCCTCCTGTTGTGGTGACCCCCAATTTCATTGTTACAAATTGAACATAACTAAAGCATAGTGATGAATCACAAAAACAATATGTAATTATATATGTGTTTTCCGATGGTCTTAGGCGACTCCTGTGAAAGGGTCGTTCGACCCCCAAAGGGGTCACGACCCACAGGTTGAGAACCGCTGCCCTAAGCCAATTAATTAACTAATTATACAGAAACATGGGACAGACTGTGATCACTTATACACTCTACACTAACAGTTAAGCCAGGCCAGCACAGGGCCGGGAGACCCCGTCAGAACGGGAAACACCTCCTACTGTCTCCACGCCAGCCCAGAGGGAGCACGTGGGCAAGGAAGCATTTCCAAGTAGGTCTTCTCAGTTTCTGTTTGCTGCCCCCCCATCTGCTCGTGCGCCCCAGAACATAAACGAAAGATGGGCGGGTCCAGCGACCTCTACCATAAACAAGCCTTACTTGGCTCACGCCTCAGGGTTTACCGTGAGACACACGGATACGTGGCCTCTGAAGAACCTTGAAGTACTACACTCACCGTCTCCTCCGGATGCTAAAATCTCCCCATTGGGAGAGAAGCGCACGACATTGACGGCTTTGGTGTGACGGGCCAGGTTGGACAAAAATTCAACGATGGCCTTTCCATCCGGTCCTTTTTCCACCTTCCAGACCTGTGGACACCAAAACACGCAGCCAGAGCAACACAGAGTGAGCACCTGCCCTGCTCCGCGCACTAAAATAACACTCTGCTTATGTTCAGGAAGACGATGTAGCTTTTCTTTTGAAACATAAAAGGAAGGAACTTGTGTCTGAGCCATAAACCCACAGTCCCATTGCTGACTGTCCTCCCTCCGGCCTCGTTCTAGTCCAGACTGTTCCCCGATGGGGACCCGGCTCGGGTTCTAAAAGCACAGGGACCAAATCCCCTTAATCTGACCCAAGGAGAAAGCGGCTTCTTTCGGTTTCATTGTTCCCTCCGGGCCCTGAGTGTGTCCCTCTGGACTAGATGAGGAAGTAGCTGGAGTTGGTTGGCATCAGCTTTCAAGGTAAGCCTGGAGAACGCTGCCTCAGCGGGGCTCCCTGTGCTTGCCACTCCCGCCCGACTTACCCTCACGGCGGTGTCCACGCCCGCGGACGCCAGCCTGTGGACCCTGCCGGCCGCGCCGTGCTGGAAGTCCAGGCTGTACACCGGCTCCTTGTTGTGCCAGGCGATCTCGCAAGTGATGACCTTCATCCTCCCGAGTCGCGGGCACCGTTCCTTTTCCAAAGACAGAGGAAAGCCGAAAACCGGCGGTCATGAACTGCAGAGTAGAGCTGGGAATCGGAGCACTTATTATGAGCCAGGAGTCCGAACCACTGAAAACGCACGCTGGCAGCTCAGGTTGCTACAGCATCGTCCTGATGCACCAAGGTAGCCCGCAGGGTCGCAGGTCAGGGCACATCCAGGAAGCAAACAGTGAATGGTTAGAATAAGGGGAACAACAAATCATGTTTCTCCCTCGGTCTCTCTCTTCCTTCCTCTCTCTCTCAAATCAATCAACACTTTTTTTTTTTTTTAATGCACGCTGTACTGGAAAACATGCGAATGTGTCCTGACACAACACCTTGCAAGTTGCACCTTAAGTGCTCTGTTGAGCCCTGGCCGGTTTGGCTCAGTGGATAGAGCGTTGTTGGCCTGCAGACGGAAGGGTCCAGGTTCGATTCCAGTCAAGGGCACATGCCTGGGTTGGGGGCTCCATGCCCAGCAAGGGGCGTGCAGGAGGCAGCCGATCCGTGATTCTCTCTCATCATTGATGTTTTTCTCTCTCTCTCTTCCTCTTTGAAATCAATAAAAATATATATTTTTAAATGCTCTGTTGAGCCCTGGCTGTTAGGTTTGTTCTCCTGCTACTTGGAAAAGCAAAATGGAACACGCAGGCAGAGAAAATCAGGAGGCCCGCGGGCTGTGCCCCTGCCCCCGCTTAGTGGCGATGGGGCGCAGAGAGGGAGCCAGAGGGGTCAGCGAGGGAACCCCCAGGAGGAGGGGACTATCCGGGAGAGGGGGCTGCAAAAGTTAGGGGCCGGGGCCAAGAGGGAACCCTGCTCCCAGGGACGGGGCCTTCCCGGCCAGGGGACCCCCACCCCAGGCCGCACGACCGGGTAGCCGAGACCTGGCCCGGCGGGGAGGAGACCGCGCCGGGCCGGGGCCGGGGCTGGGCGGGAACCGGCCGCCGGAACGCGTGCCGCTCCGAAGGTATCCCTGACCCCGCTGTCGGCTTTCAGCGGGAGCCTCTCGCCCCTGCCCGGCCGGCGCGGCCCGGTTCAGAGACCCCCGGGGACGTGGCGGCCCGCAGCGCGGAGAACTCACCTACAGGGACCCGGTCATCCACTGGCTCCAGCGCGCGCTCCGCTTCCCGCGCGCCAAAGGCCCCGCCCCGTGGGAGGGGCTACAGGGAGCCCCGCCCCCGGGCGCCGAGCGTGGTGGCCCTGCGCTGCGGAGGCGTCCAATCAGGGCCAGCTCCTGCCGGCTCCGCGGAGCGCTCCCGCGGCGGGAGAAAGGGTGAGTCGTCATTCATTCGTTCATCACTTCTTCCCGGGTGGGTTCATTCTTCTAGCAACCATCCCAGCACATGGGCCACGCTGGGCCGCCTGCTGACGCCGAGGCCTACCCTCGGGAAACGCTCAGATGGTTAGAGGAGGAAAGAGCGGCCCTGCAGGACCGGACCTCCGAGACCCGCCCAAGACTCCCGTCTTTCCCTGGGGCAGCGGGCTTTTGAGCTGTAACCTGTCTCGGGCCCTGTCTCGGTCTCTAGAATTTCAATCAATAAAAGACTGTCCTCGACCTCCTGTAGTCATGTACGCAAGGAATTATAAAAGGTGAAGTGGCCCTAGCCGGTTTGGTTCAGTGGGTAGAGCGTCGGCCCGCGGACTGAAGGGTCCTGGGTTCGATTCCGGTCCAAGGGCACATGCAGGGGTTTGGGGCTCGACCCCCAGTAGGGGTCGTGCAGGAGGCAGCCCTTCAATGAGTCTCTCTCATTGATGTTTCTATCTCCCTCTGCCTTCCTCTCTGAGATAAATTTAAACCACGTGCTCTTACAGTCCCAAGGACAAGGTTATTTCGGATGTGAAGGCTCCAAGGAAGTCTGAAGCGAAGGTGCATTTAAAGGCTTCAGGTGGTAGAGTTTGGGGTAAGCAGCTGGGAAGTGAGGACTCGCGCTAAAGAATATCACAGTGGCAACAGAGCAGAGTGGGCGCAGTGGGACCTGTGATGGGAAAGGATGGATGGGCAATGGCCTGGAAGTTTTGCAGGCCAAGGGATTTTGCAAAAGGAATGCTACCCTGTGCAGCCTGGAAGAAAGCCTCCCCCAGGTGACTCTCCCATCCCCACATCCCCCCCTCTTTCTCCCTGGATGTCATGGCACTGTTATCAACCAGGTCTCTTTATCCTTTTGCAAACAAATATTGAGGTTTGTTCTTTATATATTGGCTTCTAAAAGATTTGGGACTTACGCTCTGGACATACTTGAAAAAGTGTGTGTGGTGTCTATTAATTCCCATAATAACCTTTTTATAATGTCTTGCAATGGACAAGAAATAAATGAGCATTAGGAGCATATTTGTTAGAATTTGATACAAATATGTATCTAATGTAAAGATAAAAACTTAAATATAAACTGAACGCATTTATATGTGTGCAACTAATATTTTCTGGAAGGACATACAAAACACAATGGTGGTTACCCCTTAGGGAGGTGGTGAGGAAGTCTTTCCACTCTACCATTCTGTTCCAGTTCCAACTGTTCCCCCTGCCCCTCCTCACACATCCCAGTGAGAAAGTGGCCACGCTGGTCCTGAGTTTGTTTCAGGAACCACCCGAGTTCAACCTTTGCAAGTGGTCCAGTAGGGTACAAATGAATGGTTCTTGGCTCTGATGGCTTACTGGGAGGCCTTAAAAACTAATACTGATATCTGGTCCAATCCCGAAGACTCTGACTTAATATGGGGTGCAGCCTGGTCCGGGAGTCTACAGGACTCCCCAGGTGATTCTCATATGCCGCTGGGGGTGCGAACCACCAGTATACACCGTCTTCATCACTCCTCAATGACGACTAATGACCTAATGGGCTGTGTGACAGCAAGAATCAAGCATCTGGACCATGTGCCGTCATCAGCAGCCGCTGCACGTCAGGAACGTGGGGCCCAGGTGATGGACATCTATAGGACACGCCACTCCAGCCTGCTGTGTCAACTCAGCTTTCACTGATTTTGTCACCTTAGCTGACGAAAGTGGGTCTTTGTTGGCATTGTGGACTATCTTCTCATGCTGTTTTAAATTAGTATAAGCAACACTGCCCTCCTACACTAGCCTTTTACAAATGTAATTTAACAAAAAAGGTAGGTAACTCTACCTAAATGGGATATATGCCATGAGAGTCCATGTTGCTCTCGGTCAAACTCGTTAGCCTCTTTCTCTTCAATGAGGCAGCCAGGCAGCGTCCCCAACGCAGAGATGCAGATCTTTGTGAAGACCCTGACTGGTGAGGCCACTGTCCTTGAGGTCAAGCCCAGTGACATCACTGAGAATGTGCTCCATGCCAAGGGCATCCCTCTGACCGGGAGCGTCTGATTCTTGTGGGCAAACAGCTGGAGGACGGCCGGACTCTCTGATTACAATACTCACAGAGCCCACCCTGCACTTGGTGCCTCGTCTGCGGGCGCCGGCATCAGAGCCTCCCTCCACTAGCTCGTGCAGAAGTACAACTGCAACAAAATGATCAGCAAGTGTTCCGCCCACCTGAACCCCCTGCTGTCAACCGCCTCCAGAAGTGCGGCCACACCAACCACCTGCACCCCAGAAGGCTGAGTAAGGCCCCTCCACCACCTCCTCAGCCCACAGGCGGCCTTCTGCCTGAATCCTGTGACCCTGAGGCCTCACTAAAGTCGCTCTTTTGTTGATTGATTGGAGCAGTTAAAAAAAAAATCTGTTAGCCATATTTTCAAAAGAACCCTATCTTAGCAGTATTTTCTTAAAAGGTGAAAAATATACCAATACTTCCCCATTAAAAGCCAAATAATATCCATAAAATATATTTTTTGCAAGAATATAGCTTACCAAAAGGAAGGAAAAAATAGCAAATTCCAGAAAGAATGGCTACATAAATATTCACAAACTTAGACTGCTGTCATTTAAAGTTTCTCCAGACTGAATGGTTTAGACACAGAAAGCGTTTCTTCTCGAGTGTAACTATAAGCACTCATGCTCACACTCCCTCAACAGGAGCTCAGGCTCGGAGTCTAAGGAAACAGTCCGGGTCTTCTAAATAGAACTAGTAAAATGTGCTCAACTTTAGGATCCTTAATGAACACAATTTTAGTTTTCAAAATATAATTTGAATACAGAATTCTTTAAAAGTAATAGCTGAAGAGTTAGCCATCATATATATTTTTATTTTATTATAAGAACTTTTTAAGTTTGGGGCAGATACAATTGTGACAGAAAACCAGCTTCATACCAAAAATACACTTTCAATTACTTTATCAAGCAAATAAAACAATCTTAATTTATTTGCTTTTTCTAGAACTTAATGTACAGTAAAAATTTTATATTCTATGTGACAGATATGTAATTAAACATACAAAAAAAGAACATGTATTGAATGTTCAGAAAAAGTAAAAATAAATAGCAATGATAAAACTTTGGAAAAAATAATGCACATTTTAGTTGTGGGAAATTAATTATATATACACAATTAAACTTAATAGAAAGTCATCTCTTTAAAATTGCACAAAACAAGGGACCAAGAAAAGCATTAATTTTAATGGCATGTGATACCATAATCATAGGGCAATTTGTTGCTTAACTCCAGGACATAAAACACTTAGGTTTGTAATACAATGAAAGGTATGCAGTATTGTTTGAGAAAGATTGTCTTCCCCAACTCACTTAACCTGTAGTGATCCTATAAAAAAGGCTGCACAGGAAATTTCATTAAAAGAAATATTAGCAATTATTGTGCCCACTCCATGCTAAGCAGCCAAAAATGGGCTTAAAAGTAAACATGGTCACACAGTTAATATACTTGATAATTTTTTATACTAAAGATTATTTCTTTGTTGTATAAAAACACTTTAACGATGATTGGCAATCTCAGCATGAAAATATCCCGGCAAAGTGGATGGAGACAGTTTCTGCTTACCTTATTTTCATGAAAAAAATATTTCAGGAGATAAGCATTTATAGAAAAGGAAAGTTAATGCTCAATTCACTTACAACTTATCAGGAGTATTAATCCATTTTTTACAAATGCCTATTTAAACTTCTCTGTAAGAAAATGAAAGGTAGCATTTCCATTTGCATTTATGTATGGCACAGCCCTCACTCAGTTCAGATAAAAATACACTTTGGGAAACCAGAAAAGATTGCACAAAGGTTAGGGGCAACCTGAAAACCTCTTGGTGAAAAACACTTATGTCCGTTAGGGCAATAAAAAAATATGTGCAGACTTAATTACAAATATTTACATTTTAAAACAGAAACATGAGTTAGCTATTCAGCTGCTCAATATCAATGATTCACAGGCATTTCAAACGGTGTGATAATGTGTCCACATGTTTGTGGCCACATTTGAATGCATAGGATAGAGTAAAGATTATGGTTCTTCAGTCTGTCACCTATTATATCTATAAAACAAAATTATTTACATTTTGAAAGCTGTACAACCAAAAGGACTGAGCAAATAGTTTTATTATATCGAATAATATAGACTTTAAGAACTACTGATTTCACTCATTTGTTCGACAACTTGTCCTAAAATCTCATCAACGACATCAACATCATAATTCACTTGCTGAAGATCGAGGTCAGGTACAATCATGGCCAGCAGTTGTCCCACATTAACTCGGAGAGATCGCAGTTTGAAGCTGCAAATACAAATATTACATTTATTTAAAGAAACAATTATTACATTTATTAGATGAACACTGCAATAAAATTTAACAGCTATGTAGGGCTTAATATTTTAGGGGAAATTAATCTGCTAATTTAATCACTCATAACGCAATGTAATAATTACGTATCTATTGGCGGTCAGTAGTGTTTCATAACACTACCGGCTCTTTGGCTCCAACTTTTACAATTTTGACTTGAGACTGGAGAAAACATGGACTGGTAAAATATATAACTTATCACCTAGAAAACAGTGACATACAGTAAGAACCCTGGTTGGTCTAAGGTAAGAGTGCATCTCTGACTTTCAGCTGCCTTTGAAGAAAGTAGACAGAACTGTTCCCTAACACATGTTCTATGAGATATCATCGCTGTGTAAGAGGACAAAGAAATGATTCTGTGGTCAAAGACACTCATAAAACGCTGGGTTAATTAATGTTAAACAAGACTTTTTAAAATGCAAGACTTCAT